GGGCAATGCCAGCTCGCTTCAGGATCAAGCAGCAGGGAAAGGTTATCCATCTCGCTGTGAGCGGCCGGGATGGCAACGTGGCACCCCTCGGTACCGTGGGCTGGGCTCGGCCCCTCTGCCTCACTCGCGGACCGCTGCAGCCAGGACCGGGCACACCTCTCCCCTCCCCTTCGATTTTCTGCCTCCCTGCTCCCTCTGCCCGGCTGCCTTCTGCTTCCTTCTCCCCGAAAGCAATCCCGATGCGTTTTGCTGCACTAATGTGCTCTTTATAAAATAACAGATCGTTTCTGTCTCTGAGTCACGACTCCTCCTCCTCCAAAACACCCATCTCATCCCCACGCCGTCAGCCGGGGCTCTGGGGAAGGGTTCGGGCTCCCAGCTCGTTACCGTGCTGCGCGAACGCTGCTCTGCCCCTCTCAGACCAGCGCTAATTTTACCAGCAGGCAGCCGGCTCCTGTTGCAAGGAGAGGAGATGCGGCTCCCTCCCGCCCTGGCCTCGCTGGGCCGTAACCTGCGGGCAGAACAAAGGAGCCAGAGAACGAGGGATTTTTCATTTCTGAAAGCACAAGGTGCTTCAGAAAGCAGGAGGCCCTCCTGCGGGATTTGGATCGCACGAGCAGCGCTCAGCCTGCTTTTGGAGCAGGGGCCTGCGGGCAAGGCACCATGTCCTGCACGCAGACAGCTGGCACGGCTCGTGGCTGGGCACAGCCTGTGCCTGGAGCCGTGGCCCCCCTGCCCCTCATCACAGGCCACTGGGCTGAGTCAGGCCGTGCACGGGGGTGCAGCCAGGAGCGGGGACAGGAGCAGGCAAGTGCTGCGGTGGGGGAGTGGTGGGGCAGCCGATAGCACAGGGCGGTGGCACCAGCACCTGTGGCGCAGAGCTGGGCTGCCACAGCCGAACCCCCGGGGAGGACGAGCGGAGCCCTGGCTGCACCCTGGCAGGGGCACAGCCGTGCCAGGGCCTGGCCCCACGGAGGGCAGCTATCTCAGGCAGGCCAGAGCCACGGCCCATGGCGGCAGACCTGGGAGGTCTTCCTGCTGGGTGTCACGAGCTGGGAATTCCCCGCGTGGCCGTGGCAAAGTCTTTATGGGTGCCCGGGGCAGCCCATGACCCTCCTGGTTGGTGAGCGAGCTCGGGGGCACGGCTGGGCTGGGGCTGGGGTTGGAAAGCCTTTCCCTGCCTCCCCCGAGCTCATCACCCCTGTAGCTGCGAGCTGCTCTGGGCTGCAGTGCCACCCCACACCCGGCAGCGCCACGCTTCGCGCCGCCAGGCTGAGGCAGGGGCTGGGCGGGAGCTGGGCGGCTCGAGCAGTGTCGGACGCGGCAGAGGTGATTCTTCGTGCGGGAGGAGCAAAAGTCACCGGGGGCTTCTGTGCTGTTGCTGTTGGAGGCGCCGCAGCCTCAGGGCCTCCCAGCTCCTCTGAGCCACAGCTTGAGGGCATCAGCACCAAAAAACACCTCTGCCAGGGCCTGCGTCCTGTCCCCCAGGCCCAGCTGCAGTCGGGTGCTTTGGCACCCCATGCAAGGTGCCTGCCGGGGCCCAGTGCATGCGCAGCTCCCCTGGCTTGGACCTGGAAACCCGGGGGTTGGTGCTCTGGCCAGCAAGGGCCAGGTGTGAGCCTGGCCTCAGCTCCCTGCTGCCATCCGGGGACAAGGCCACTGCAGCCCTGCGCCCTTCTGTTTCAGACAACCACTCCCAGGTGTCCAGAGCATCTCTCCGTATCCGCATCCTGGATGTGAACGACAACCCGCCCGAGCTGGCCACCCCGTACGAGGCCGCTGTGTGTGAGGACGCCAAGCCTGGCCAGGTAGGGCTGTCCCAAGCGGCTCCCCGCAGCACGGGGTGGGTGCATCCTCGCGGCTGCTCGTGCTGTACTCGGGAAGGGGCTTCGTCCTTGCGGAGCGACTGCTTAGCGCCATTCATGGCTCCATACTGCTCCTCCTAGACCCTCTGGGGCCACCCGCAGCGTGGGGCTGCGGCGCCGCTCGGCTGGTCCTTCCCCAGCCGTGGCTGCTGTGGAGCAGGGTAGTGCAAGTGCCCAAACAGCCAGGCTGGGTGCACGGCTGTCTCCTGCCACACGTGTGCCTTTCCCACGGTGTGATGAGGCCTGGCTTTTTGGGAAGGGGTCCGGGAGGAAGCTCCATCCTCTGCTTTCTCTCGGCAGCTGATTCAGACGATCAGCGTTGTGGACCGGGACGAGCCACAGAGCGGCCATCGCTTCTACTTCACGCTGGTGCCGGAAGCCACCAACAACCGCCACTTCTCACTGCTGGATGTGCAGGGTGAGTCCTCGCGGCTCTCCTCCCCTTCTTGCGACCCAGAGCCGGCACGGAGGGAGGGGGCGCGAGCAGCCACCCCCATCAGAGCTGCCAGCTGTGGCAGGGGCTGGGCCCTGGGGCTGCTGCCCTGCCCCAAGGGTGGTGCTGGCTGGGGCAGGAGCTCGAGCTCACGGGCAGCGATCGCACCTGGCAGCTGCAGGCTGCACCTTGCACCTCCCATGCGGGGACAGATGCTTGGCTCCATGGCTAAGCAACCCTGTTATCCCTCTGTCCTGCCTGGAGCACTGGGGGTCCCTGCAGCTGGGCACAGACATGTCGCACGCTGCCCAGGCTCCTGGCATCTCTGCCCTGCCAGCTTTGCCGCACAGGGCAGGGGGAGTCTCTGCCCTCGTTGGCTGTGGCTCCGTTTGGTCTGTGCTCACACATGTGGTGCTGGCCACGGCTGTGCTCAGCGCTTCGGGGCGGGAACCCCGGCTCCGCGCTGCTGGGGAAGCCGTCTGCCTGCAGGCCATCCCCGCATGCCCTGCTGCAGCAGTTTGATCGCCCTGTGTCTCAGCCTCTAAACCGACGAACGGGACAAGCAGCCCACGGGGCACTCGCTACGCGCTGCCCCCGCGGCGCAGGCAGGCCACGTAGGTGGCTCCAGATGCGCTGCCTCTTGCCAGGCCTAATGCAGGACCTTGGGCAGAGGGCCCTGGTTCCTCTGTCATGGGACAGGACCAAGTGCAGGGGCAGGTCAGTGCCTGCCAGCTCCCATCCCTGCTGCGGCCAGACCCCCTTGTGCCCTCACCCCCTCTGTCCTCCCTGCTTGTCCCCAGCCTCCAGGCAAGGAGGGGATGTGGGTTTACGGGTATGGCACGACCCAGCCTGGGACCCTCAGGCTGGAGATGGGATTCTTGCTATGTCTTACCAGCCTGGTCCTGCTGCCTGCTCTGGGCTGCCCCTGGCCCCAGCTCCCCTCTGCCCGTGGCTGCATTATGCACGTGGCTCGGGTGATGCCCACTCAGCACACGCCAGCTGGGGCGTTGCTGCCCCACGTGCAGCTTGGGGCTTCTCCCACGGCAGGCCCCAAACCACGACATTCGGTCCCAGGGTACAGGCCACCCCTGGGCTCGCACGCAGCCCCCACTGCACCCAGGAAAGACTGGCTCTGCTGCGGACAGTCGTCTTCCATGCCGCGGGGTCCCGGGATATGTCTTATGTCACTGCACTGAGCATCGCCCACAATGCGGCGCGCCACCTCGGCTGCAAACTGGCCAAGCCGTCCTATGGTTGCTCTGGGGGCATCTGGGACCCTCCACGTGCTCGGCTTCTGGCCACCGTGCGAGGAAGGTGCTTTCCCAGCCCGGCCCCGCTGCTTTGTCCTATGCCCTTCCCCAGGCTGCCCATACAGGTCCCTCCCCTTGCTGCAGCCGCTCCTCCTCCCCCAGCACTGCTGGTCCCTCTTCCGTGCTCGCCCCCTCTTGCACCCTCCGCTCCCTCTCTATATAAATATCAGTGGTGACAAACTGCTACCACCAGCCCATCTGTTTCTCTGTACAAATTTGTAGCCAGTTTTGAAACGTGATTTATAAATATTGCTTCTGCAGCCAAGGAGTGGCACTGATGGATGTCGGCACAGATGGGCTCTCCAAGCGCGCTCCAGTCCTGCTTGCTCCCTTTGCACCCACCTCTCGCACTTCCTGTTAGGCAAGAAAAAGCAACATCAGGCATGTAACTCATCCCCGCAGTGTGACAGGGGCCAGCGTCCTCTCCAGAGCCGCGAGCACCTCTCGGCCTCTGTGGAGCGTCAGGCCTGGCGCGGAGGTGCCGGCAGAGGCGGAGGGAGCCTGGCGCGGAGTGGATGGTGGGGCGGTGGCGGTCAGTGGAGCGTTACAGGGATGATGTTCGCTCACGTGCTGTTTGCTCGCATGCTCCAAGTGCCCCGTTGGCTGCGCGTGGTCACGCGCCGGTCATCCCTGGCACCAGCAGACCAGAGGCAGCCTTGCAGGGCAGGACCGGGACGTGCACAAGTGCTGTGCGCCCTGGTGGCTGTGCATGACCACACGCTGGCCACCCCAGCAGCTGTGCAGGGCAGGACCGGGACACGCGTGGGGCTGGCAGGGCACTCGGCAGAGGATGGAGGCACCCAGGAGGGCAGCAGGCTCTGGAGCAGGAAGGAATTGTGCTCGGACAGGAATGGCCCAGATCTGGCCCTAGCCCTGCAGGCAGTGCAGACGGGCTGAGCTGGAGGAGCCTGGCAGCATCCCGGGCAGGTCTGTGCCAGCCCTGCCGGCCGTGGGGACCCCTGGAGAGCCGTGCCAGGGAGCTGCAGTCCCTCCTGCGCTCTGTTCAGGGTCCTGTTTCCATCGCCTCCCCCATCCCAGCACACATCTAGCACAGAGCATGGGGTGGCAGCCTGCCCGCCCCAGGACAGCTGGCAAGGACCCCATCCTGCCATGGTACTGATCCCAAGAGCAGAGGAAGAGACATCCCCTGCGCTCAGTTCAGGAGGGGTCAGTGGTGGCTCCCTGCAGGCACCAGCTCCTGACAGCGTGGCCTGGTCTGCACGGTGCGAGCAGCCCCATGCCACAAGACGCGGCCCCAGCGTGGCGACTGTCCTTCGTGGTTGGAGCACCTGGCAATGGGACCTCTCCTGGGAACACACCCGTACCTGTCACCCCGTGTGCTTGCAGGGTCCCACGGTGCTCTGGGCTGTACGAACCCGGAGCAATGACGGTCTTCCCCACAGAGCGCTGATGTGGCTAGTCCTGCTGGCCTCTTCCCCAGCCACATGCACATGCCGGTACTACAAAGGACTTGGCCTTGCTCTGGTGCTCACAGGATCACGGACCCTGCTCCAGGTCAGGAAGGAGTAGGGGGAGGCTGGGGCCAGCTGGACGCTGCCGGCCCCGAGGCTGGGTGCCCTTGTGCCCCACTACGCCTGCCCGGCCTTGCTGCGCGAGTGAAGGGCCCGGGCCCCTTGGTGCCTTGATTTGCTGCATGTCAGAACTGAGCTAATCTGGTGCTTCGTACCAGCTTTGCTTCTGCTCCTTCATCTCGTTGCTCGCCTCCAGCCCCCCCAGTCAGCTGGGAGTGTTAAATGATGTTTGTCCTGCCGGGCTCCCCGCAGCAGAGCCCCCGGCCTCTCCTTCCCACCCTAGCATCAGCATCGCAGCGGGGAGGCTGCACCTACGGACCTGCCTGCAGCAGGGCAGGTTAAATGCTGTAAGCAGCAAGGGCCGAGTGCGTGCGCCCAGTTGGTGAATGCCACAGCTGCGAGGAGCCGCCTTCCCCCAGGTCTGCCCAGACGCGTTGGCCTTCCTGGGGCCCTGGTCGTGCCTCCGGGCTGGGTCTTCCTGTCACAGGCAAATCGATTAAAGAAGCATTTGAGGCAATTAAGGCCCAGAATCATGTTCTCCAGGAAACACTAAGTGCACTGGAAGGGAGCGTGGGGGGAACCGGCCGGGAAAGGCTGGGAGATAATGTGGAGTGACGCGTGGAGGCCACC